GTGTTCAATCCCAGCCGTCGAGGTTTCTCGATCAAACGGATGGGAACACGGGGTCCCTAAGTATATTATTGTCCAAACGCTTTCCACCCCCCTTCACTTGTCTTCCTCACCCCTCAGAAACACAAACCCTAACCCGCAGCCCTAATTCCCACCGCCTTAACCCAGCGGCGCCACCTCCGTTCACTACCAAAACTATACCCCACGACCACCAAGTCTCCCTCGTTCCAAATCCCCACTCTGTTTGCTTCGAATCCTCCTGGAACTTCTCGAATTTAGATCGAAAGTGAACCCTAAAAATCCAAAAGTCATTTTCTTTGAAATTTGGTAGCATGCATGGTCATAGGGTGGTGTTTCTTTGAGTTTTGAAGTTCGAACTCAACAAGACCGATGTTGTTCAGCTTGTTCTTAACAAAGAACAATTGACCGATATTAGTTTTATTGGGTCCTTTATCTCCGTCTGGTTTCGAGGCTTGATTTGGTAAGTTCCTTTCCCCTTTTGTGTTTTCTTTTATTATCCTCCTCTTTCCCTTTCTTTAAGTCTAGTTTTCTTGTAATAATCTGACTGAAAATTCGATTCGCCTTCTGAGTTCAAACTTGTTCTTCGGTTCACTATTTCGTTTTCCTTTTCTTCTTTCTTTATTATTCTTTGTGAAATTTGTGTCTTTGACTTCTTTAGTTTGTTAAGCATGGCTAATATTCTGGTTTGTGTTTCTGTTAATCATCTAGTTAATCAGGCCTATAACTTAGTTAATTTCTTGTTATGTAGTTAAGTTAATTAATTCATTCACCCTCGTCTTTGTTTGATTGCATTTTAAAAGGGTTTCCGGATATCTTCTTTTGGGAATTTTGGTCAGTTTTTAAATTTAGGATTTTTGCTTAAATTGAATTGGGTTCTGAAAGTCAAGAGCCCAAGTGGGGTTTAATTTGGATTCACAGACCCATACCAAATCTAGTTGGGTCAATTTGATCCACATTTTGAAGGGTAATTAACAGGGCTCAGAGGGTTATTCTGGGTAATTGCTAAGGAAATCTGAGTGTAACAGCTTTAGAAAACTTCCAAGAAAGGGGGTTTGGGACTAATTTGAACTTCTGAAGTTTACCTTGAGGGTATGATAGTAAAAACCAAAATTAAAAAAGGTTTTAAGTGCAAAAGTTGATTTCTTAGGGCTGCCCTAGAGCCTTGCCTATAAAGGCATGATAACTTGGTTTTCAAGTCAGACCCAAGAGGAAAAAAATCCAAAAAATTTAAAAACGGCTGAAAAAATTGACTGAAGTTACTGGTTCATTGAAAATCATCCTGTGATTTCTCAAGTTTTCAATTTCTGAAAAGGTTACATAATCTTTCTAGTGTTAAAATGGATTAAAGTAGGTGTTTAAGGTTTCGTTTGTGAAGTTGTTGTGGTTACTGTTAGAAGGGGACTATTTTTACTACTTTCATACTCATTTTGGTTTGAGCTGATTCTACTGGTGTTGATTCTGTTGTACTGCTGTTGCTTGACTGCAATTTCTTCACATCGTTTGTTTGCTTGCTCATTTCCAGGTATTCCTCGATCATATGGATGCCCTTTGATGTAGCTCGAAGTATGGATTTGAAAATAATAAGATAAATTTTGATGTTGTGAATCTGAATCATCTTCTCTTCTTTCAATTTAGTAGTTAACTTGTAATACTTGGTTTGAGAAAGATTCTGGTGGATGTATTTATTTAAGAGTGAGTTGTAATTGGAGTTTAGATCATGTTAATTGGTAAATGTTGTCCTCTCATGATTTGGTCAACATATTCTATTATTAGTATTAAATCTTGGCTTTGTGTGATCATCTTTGCTTGAGTATGGTTCTGTATATTTGGGAAATCAGGAGCTTAGCTTTGTTGAGTTTGTACAAATTGGATAATCTTGCATTGCTGAGAGTTCGAAATTAAACCATTAGTTGGGTCATGCTTTGAGTCTGTTAGCGTAAAAATGTTGTATTTAACCCCTGATTGTTTTGTTACGTAGTTATTGATGTCAAGTCTTTATTAATGGGTATCTAAGATAAGGGAAGTGAGGTACATGTGAACGTATGCCAACGTGTGTACATTGAGTATGGAAATTGTGTTAGTATGCAGGGTATTAATTTGATGGTGTATAAGGCATGGTAAATACATCCTAGATAATTCATCTGACTTAATGTGGGTATTTGTTTGTTTGAGCAGCCATTGATATTTCATTGTGTAAAAAATGTTAAAGATCAGTAGCTTAATTCGGACTACATAGTGGCCATTTGGAGCCCAACTTATAATGGAATTAATTTAGGCTCAAAGGAATTCGAACCTGAGTTCTCGTCCTTCAGCTGCAATGCTTTCGAATTGGGCCTGTTACTGAGGTTTGGCCCAAATCGTTTTAAAGTTGATGGTTCCCTAGTCGTCGTATATTATTGGGCTCAGTTTTAAAAAGGAAATGGACCTTTGTTTCCTTGTTCCGTTTTTGAGTTTAAACTTTAACATAAAACACATCTTGAGTTCCTTTGGGCTTTTTCTTTAATTAAGCTAGACTATCTCAAAAGTAAATTGGAGGTGTGCCATATTAGACAATAAAAATAGTTTATGGCCCTCCTAAATCTAGTTTGAATACCCTTAAAAATTGAAATTTAGGTGCACCATGCCAAACAAAAATGACAATTGTATGGCCCTCATTTAATTAATCTTGTTTTGATTCTTAGAATTCGAGGCGTGCCGTTTAGTTGAAATTTTATGGCCCTCGCAAAGTTGCAAACGCGTAGTCACTTTAGGCACGTTATTTTAATAATTAATTTCCTAAACTCGGGTGCGCATTTATGTGACCCAAATCCAAATCTCAACGTTAGATAAAATGTGTTGCGGACTGCGGGTGCATTTATGTGACGTTGTTTGAGACATATTTTAAATGACGTTGCAATCTTCCTTAAAAATAATAAAAGCGGCTAATAAGTTAAAATATACCATAGGCTAAAACATGTTTTAAAATTAGATAATAGGCCAATTATAACAGTTGAGCGACCGTTCTAGAACCACGGAACTCGGGAATGCCTAACACCTTCTCCCGGATTAACAGAATTCCTTACTCGGATTTCTGGTTCGCGGATTGTTAAACAGAGTCAAGCTTTTCCTCGATTCGGGATTCAACCGGTGACTTGGGACACCATAAATCTCCCAAGTGGCGACTTTGAATCTTTAAATAAATAAATCTCGTTTCGATTGTCCTTTAATTGGAAAAACTCTTTTATACCCTTCCGGGGTGTAGGTAAAAAGGAGGTGTGACAATGATAATACACATCTTTGGCATGCTAGACTTGGACATCTAAGCATGGATAAATTAAAAGCCATGGTAAAGTTGAATCTAGTAAAAGGTTTGCCTAACTTAAGAAATTTTGATGGAGGAGAGGTTTGTGAAGGATGTCAATATGAAAAGGTACATCGTCTTCCATTTGACATGTCCTTGTCAAGGTGCAATGCCCAACTAGAACTTATTCACAATGACTTGATGGGGCCAACGAGAACTCCTTCATTTTCAGTCTACTCTTATATGCTAATTTTCATTGATGATTTTACTAGATTCACTTGGATTTATTTTGTGAAGCACAAGTCAGAAGTTTTCAGTAAGTTTGTGAAGTTCAAAGAAACTGTTGAAGGTAAACTTAATTCCAGAATAAGGCGGCTATGAATTGATAATGGCGGTGAGTTTATATCAGATGGGTTTCTTTCCTTTTGTCGTCAGCAAGGAATTAAAATAGAGCTGACATGCGCTGATACGCCACAACAAAATGGAGTGGCTGAAAGGAAGATCTGACACTTAACTGAGACATGTAAGAGTTGGCTTCATGCCAAGAATTTACCTAGAGCTTTGTGGGCTGAAGGTATGAAATGTGCAGCGTACGTGATTAACATGATGCCGCTTTCTCCAAATAATATGAAGTCTCCCTATGAATTAATGTTTGGAGAAAAGCCTAGCGTGAAACACCTCAGGGTTTTTGGCTCTATTTGTTATGTTCACATTCCGGATTCTCAAAGGAGCAAGTTAGATGCCAAGGCAAGGAAATGCATCTTTGTCGGATATGATGAAAGGAAAAAGGTATGGAAGTGCATGGATCCTAAAACTCATCTCTTTGTTGTCTCAAGGGATGTCATATTTGATGAAGTGTCTTTGTATTATGGAGTTACATTGGATGGAGAGAGTTCAAAAACCTTAAATAATAGAGATTCAAGCTTGTCCATTGTAGGTGCTTCTCTAGATAATACAACTGCCGAGGAGTTAAGAGAAAGGGGGAGTCCTGGACCTCAACAACATGAAACTCAACAAGAAGATGATTCAAGTGGTTCGAGAAGTCCAAAAAGAACTATTATCAAGCCAGCTCGGTTTAGATATGAAAATTTTGTCAATACGTATTCATGTTTCTTTGCAGGACCAATTGATGATGAGGAACCTTCCTCATTCAGAGAAGCTAAAGGAGTCAAAGAATGGGAGCTTGCTATGGATGATGAAATAGAGGCTCTGATGAAAAATCAAACTTGGAGCCTTGTACCAAAGCCGAAGGATGTACAACCCATTTCTTGTAAATGGGTTTACAAAATCAAAAGAAGAGCCGATGACAGCATAGATAGATATAAAGCAAGGCTAGTTGCTCTGGGATTTACTCAAAAGTATGGTGAAGATTATGAAGAAACCTTCAGTCGTGGCTAAGATGATCTCTGTCCGAGTTGTGCTAGCCTTGGCAGCCTCGCATAATTGGAAGTTATGGCAACTTGACTTGAAGAATGCTTTCTTATATGGAGATCTTGACAAAGATATTTATATGGAGCAACCACCCAGGTATGTCTCTAACTTACATCCTAATCATGTCTGCAAACTTAAGAAGGCCCTTTATGGCCTCAAGCAAGCTCCACGAGCATGGTATGGAAAAATTGCTCAGTATCTACATTTCTGTGACTATGATGCATCACAATCAGATCCTAGCTTATTTGTAAAAAAATAAGGAGACTTGCATATGGTTGTTCTTTTGTACGTGAATGATATGATAATAACAGGAAACAATGAAGATGAAGTTGCTAGGATTCAAGATGAGCTTTCCATAAGATTTGACATTAAGAAGTTGGGAGAACTACACCATTTTCTCGGCTTAGAGGTGACAAACATGAACAAAGGGAACTTTGTCACTCAAGAAGGATATGCCAAGAAACTTGTTGACAGGTTTGGATTGAAGCAAAACAAAACATGTTCTGCTCCTCTTGAGATAAGCACAAGGTTAAGGCGGGACGAAGGCTCACTTCTTGCAGATCCCAAGTCTTTTCGATCTCTTGTTGGAAGTCTCTTGTATTTGACTATTACAAGGTCGGACATTGCGTTCTCGGTGGGATATGTCAGCAGATTTATGCAAAGGCCAAGAAAGCCTCACTTAAAAGCTGCAAAGAGGATTCTAAAGTATATTAACTCAACATTAGACATGGGCTTGTTCTTCCAGAAGAAGAAGAATTTGGTGTTAGCTGGTTATACGGATGCTGATTTTGGTGGTGATTTGGATGACCGAAGATCAACATCGGGCTATATTTTCCTCTGTGGTGGAACAAGTGNAGAAGAAGAATAATTTGGTGTTAGCTGGTTATACGGATGCTGATTTTGGTGGTGATTTGGATGACCGAAGATCAACATCGGGCTATATTTTCCTCTGTGGTGGAACAAGTGTTTCTTGGTGTAGCAAAAAGCAAGACTCATTTTCCTTGTCAACCATGGAGGCAGAGTATAAAGCAGTTGCTCTCACTACTCAAGAATGTGTATGGCTACAATGACTTGCTGAAGACTTGCATCTACTTATATTAAAGACAACTGTGATCTATGGAGATAATCAAAGTGCCATCAAGCTTGCAAACAATCCAGTATTCCATGCAAGAACTAAACACATTAAGGTGGAACATCACTTTGTTTNTAAATAGGGGGTATCTTGTTCATTTGTAAGCAAGCCAAAAATCAAGAAAACCTTCTTTCCAAAACAAGTTCTCCTATCTAAAATCTATCTTCTTTTTCAAGCTTACTCTTCTTTAGTTGAATCCTCCAATCTTAGTTAACGATCTTGGGCTAGCAGAAGGTCTCCAAATAATATTCTTCTTCTGCTATTCTTTACAATTGCATGCAAGGGGAGCTCGCTCGATTTGCAGATTGGTCCGACTCGTAATTCACTTCAGATCCCGTGTTCGATAGCCCGACCGTAGTGATATTAATTGTGGTTACATTTATAAGTAGCTTGGTCCATCTTTATTTCATTTCATATATGTCTGAGGATCCGCATAGCCCTCGATTTATGTGTTATTTATCTATTCCTACTTTTTTTATGTCAATGTTGGTGACTAGAGATAACTCTCTTCAACTATTCCTGGGATGGGAGGGAGTAGGTCTTCCTTCATATTTGTTAATTCTAATGTTTCATCATTGCTTTTAAAAAATTATCTTGTCAACTTTGTTTATTCAGGCTTTCCAAGATCTATTCAACAAGAGTACGTAGTTGCAGCCAAAGAATTCAAGTCCTACAAGTAACACAGTCTTATCTTATCCCCTTGAGATTACATATGAAAATTTCAATTAAAAGATCACTTAAAATGAACAAATTTGAGAAGATTATAACCATATAGTATTTCTTTGTACTTGAACACTAGTTAAAGGAAATTACTCTTGTACTTAGTCGAAAAGTTATCATTCAAACAATAATATCGAAAACCTCATATTAATGTACATAATTTTCAAATACGTGGATTATATAATAAATTTTCCCATTAATTTAGACTTTAGTTATGAACTATTATAGTGAAAATATAAACTGAATACTATTCCCGCTCTTTAGAGAACTTTTTGTTATGATCGGGAATTAGTTATCAAAAGAAGGTCACGTGCTGGACTTGTTCTCACGTGAGTCAATAACTTTCAACTCTTATTTCACCGATGTGGGAACTTACCGATATATAAATATAAGTAAGCGGTGAACATGGTATTGAAAATTATAATCCATTTTCAAAGCTTTTGCTTCTCACTCCTCTTTCCTTCTCTGTCTATATATCTCTCTTCGCTCCCTTTTCGTCTCATCTCTTCTCCTTCCTCTGCTCTCTTCTTCCTTCTTTGCTTCTCTTCTCTTCTCAATCGTTTGGTTGTGGATTTATAGCTTATCAATTTACTTTTCTGTTTCGCAATTGTAATTCGAATTAGAAGTGTTGAGTAATAAAAATTCTCATGTTTGCTATTAAATTCTTGCTAATTCTATCTTTACTTTTTGAGTACATTACACTTTTATTGTTCTAGTTGAGTTACTTTTTGTTACAAACAATAGTTTTATGACTTTGATATACCAAAGGGAAAATGGAAAAATTTACTTTAAATAATTACTCCTATGTACAAAGCATAGTAAACATATTACTAACCATCTTTTAACTGAAGTTTGTTTTCCATATCTGCAAAAACAAAGAACTAAATACCCACCAAGTTATCAGTTTCTTGTACTACTTCATAGTCTTACATGGGATAAAGGATTATTCTTAAGTCTAAAAGGTAAAGTAAAGTGAAGTGGAGGCTTAAAATTAGGAAATGCAATTCTAAGATGCTTTGACAAAAAAGTGTAAGAAATAGATTCTGCAAAAAAGGATAAGTGTCGATAGTTATACTAATATTAATTATTATTTATTATATAATAAAAGAAGCAAATGGATAACCTCTTGGAAGACATTATCTTTTGTTTATTACGCACAAAATTATCATCCTATAGTGGAGCCAAAATTAAGTATTTTCTTCCATGGCCAAGGGTACATCACGAAATAGTATCTCTATCCTCTCATGATAGAGGTAAGGCTGCGTACATCCTACCCTTCCCAACCTTATTTATAAAATTTTCATTGAGTTGTTGTTGTTGTTGCAAAAGACTGCTTTTCTTTTACCACTTACAAAATAATAATACTGAAATTGGTGTTTATATAGCCCATGAATAATTAGAGACGAAGAATAGAATAACTGAAGACCTTCAATAAAATTAGAACATTTTTTTGTTTTTCATCCGGTGTTTACGATATCAATATTGGGTCCGATATGCTCCCTAACATAGACAACTCTATATATACCGAGGTTTGAACCTAAGATCTCTAATTAAAAATGATTATCATTCCACCACAACCCTACTTGATAAGATTAAAACTCTATTTCGGACATATATTACAAATATTTTTCCTTTTTTGTTGTTGTTGTTGGAGCACGCACAGTAATTGGTGCAGCAGGATAAAATGTCAAAATAGACATGCCTAAACTATGGTGGCAGCCATGTGAGCTTTTTTGACGTTCTACAGACATCCTTTTCAACATTCAACATGACCTACTTATATACATCAAACATAGTACATTAATTAAATTTCAGAATTTAAGATTAATTAGAAAATTACAAAATCATAACGCACTAATTAGAAAATCATTAGTAGTTTTTCATATTAATAAAAAAATGCAATAGAATATGTATATCTCTTGGACCATGAAAACAAATTATTTCATAATTAATTATTTCGGAATAACTAATTTCGTAATTAATTATATTACGATTTTATCTGTGAGATAAATTCATCAATCTCGAAACTAATTATTTTTTATCCCTATTACCAAACGAGCCCTAAGACTTAAATATCAACGACTAGTAGTAAGAAATTAAGAATAAAACCATGGAAGTTTGGATCCTATAATTTGGTGTAATAAAACAAACAAAAAATAATTAATTTACTAAATCAAGAAAATAATTGTAAAGCTGCCAGCACAGAAAATCATATACTAGTCGCTAGCCTATTGCAATTTCTTTATTTTCTTTCGTTTTCTCTGTCCCCTTCCCAAAATTGGCGGCTATAATTTACTTCTCATAATTTACTGTAAAAACTCCGATTTTAACTACACTTAAGTTAAGAAAAAGGAAAACAGCAACTCATCTCGTCAAACGCGCCATCCGGCGCATAAAAACCACGCACTGAACTTAATAGACCGTTAATCACATAACGACAATGATTCCACGTGTCAGTGTAAGTAAACAACAAAAGCACGCGTTGAATCCGCGAGTGGACTTGAAAATGCAGATATGTATGTATTAGAATTCCACTGTCACACACATTGTCCTTTTTTTAGATAGAGAAAAGAGTTGGAGAAGAAGTGAAGAAGTCTCTCTTCACTGTATTTTCCTCTTTGCGACTTTTCACATATAGCTTTTTCTTTTTTTTCCAGCTATTTGCAAAAGGTAAAAGATTTCTCTCTCTCCAGATTTACAACTAATAAGTGTTTGATTATTTGCCCCTGTTAAATACAATGCTTGCTTGCGTCTTTATTTTTTAGTTCTTTTTTTTTCTGCTCAATTATCAGAGTAAAAGCCTCTTTTTTTAATATGAAATAATGATGCTTTTCTCAGCTTCATTCTCATCATTTCCACATAATTCACTTACTATTTGGTGGGTATTTTGTTCTTGTTATTGTACCTTCTTCAACTGTTCAAAGTTGGTTTCTTTTCAAGATTTGTTTGTGTACTTCTTTTGCGGATGCCCATTTTGCTCTTTGTTTTTGTTCTTGTTATCGTCTTTCTGTTTGGGTTTTATTTTTGGGCTTGATTAAGATACTGATGTTTGATTTTTTTTTCTTGTTATTCTAGATTGGAAGTTCTTTTATGTATTGGCTATGCAGAGTATTTTTCCAAAGAAAGAGTAGATTGAAGAAAAAGGTCACAGCTTTGGATCAATGGGTGGGAAGAGATCTATAATATGTTGCTTGAATTTGGAGATCTTGGTTTGGTTTCTGTTAATTTTTGCTGTTCAACTTTCAGATGAAACTGACCCTGGAGATGGTAAGGAACAAACATTTACTAAATTCTGAGTTGTTTTTGCCCTTTTTGATTGCTCACAAAATAATACTATGTAAAAGGAGAGGAATGCTAATTTCATGTTTTGGGCAATGCTGGTTTGGGGGGTGGGGGTGGACTGATTCAGGGGAGGAGCAGAGAATTACCAAAAATGGTCGGTTATATGAATCTTCTTTATCCATTTCCTCTATTCAAGAATGAATTTAAGAATGTTTCACTTAGCTTCCTGAAAAACTTGCACGCCGCAGTTAGCAATTATATTACAATGGAAAGCTATCAGTAATTTAATTTAGAAGAAAAGGAAGGGAAAATAAAAGAGAAGCAAAGGAAAAATGAGGAAATCAAGTATTGACTCCTAATACCTAAGTTTTTGGGGGGCTATGGATTCCCCAGGCGATATGTGGACTCTGCAGATGCCCTTATTATCCCAAATATCGACTAAATGCCACCTTGCTTTCTGTAAACTTTGTCCTTTGGGTTTGTTTGAAGTTAGCATTCTTCAATTGATCGCATTCTAAGTTTCTTATTTGTTCATGAATCAATGCCTGGAATTTTAAGTTTGAATTTTTAACTTTGACATTTTCCTTTTCTCCTGGTCTAGTTGCTGCAATTAATGCTTTTCATGCTGCCATGGGATCGCCTTCCCTTCCTGGTTGGGGTATCAGTGGAGATCCGTGTGATGGACAATGGCAAGGGGTCACATGCAATGATACAAATATATTAACCATGTAATT